TGACCTCTTTGAGAAATGTCCTAAAATTAGGCCACTGACTCCCCTCTCCCTTTGCCTTTGTCCTTGCTTGCCAGTTTGGAGTGATCGTAGTTGCTCCTTTTTGCAAGTTACTGTGCCATGTGGAGTCTGCACATCCCTGGGATGCACTTGGCAGTGTTCAGAGAGTTGTTTTTGCCGTTTTCTGTCCCCGTCATGGATTGCTGTTCATGCTGGCACACAGTAAATTATTAGTGCTGGATAAACTCACCCAGGATTGATGTTTGTTCTCTTCTTTCTCAGGAACAACAGCGTGATCCTGGCCGATGAGATGGGCCTGGGGAAGACGATTCAGACGATCTCGTTCCTGTCGTACCTCTTCCACCAGCACCAGCTCTACGGCCCTTTCCTGGTGGTGGTGCCCCTGTCCACTCTCACCTCATGGCAGAGAGAGTTTGAAGTGTGGGCACCTGAGATAAATGTGGTGGTTTACATCGGAGACCTCATGAGCAGGAACATGGTGTGTAATCAGACAGCAAACAGTGTTGGGTAGAAACACTGGGTGCAAAGCAGCAGCTTCTGTGTAACATTTGATTGAAGTTAACATTTGTTTTTTCTCACAGATCCGTGAATATGAATGGATTCACTCTCAGTCCAAAAGGTTGAAATTCAATGCACTTATCACAACATACGAGATCCTTCTCAAGGATAAGGTGAGTCATGGTCTGAGGATGTTTTTTATTTAGACACTCTCTTGCTTGCAAAGGGGGAAGCCAGCCCCCAACTTCTGGGTTTCTCCTCTTTCCTCTGTGGTGATAGAGATGCGTTTGCTTGCCAGTAGTGCAGAAGGATTGTAGGACACCCACTGCAGTGTCTTAACTCTCATACTGCGGCAGTTGTGTTATGACTTTTCACTTGTAAGACACCAGGCAGGGCAGTAGCTGGATTTTACCTGATTTAATTTAGGCTGGGCAAGAGGACAAAACATTACACTGAACTGCTGGCCACAGTGTAAACAGTATCTGGATTTTTACACTTAGGAGAAATCTGTCTGCTTAGGAAATGCTCATCAGCTGTCAGTGCATCACTGGGTCCTAGCAGAAAACAAGAAACTTGATACTAATGTAAAAAAAGGAATTAAAATCAAAACTCTCAGGTTACCTTAAATTAAGGCTTGTTTGTCTGCTCTCCCGCTGCTGCGCCTGTGGGGTTTGTGCAACAGCAGGGCCTCAGGGCCATGGAGAAAGGGAGGAGTAGTGGGCTGGAGGAGGACTATGCTCCTGAGCAAAGGTGAATTAAAATAGGTATGCTTGCTGAAAGTCTATTCAGAGGTGGTGGAGCTTGTCTGACCCAGCACCTCCTTGAAGCCTGTTGTTCTTTTTCTCTTCTTTTCCTCCAGGCTGTTTTGGGAAGTATTAACTGGGCCTTTCTAGGAGTGGATGAAGCCCATCGGTTGAAAAACGATGACTCTCTACTGTACAAAACGTTGATTGATTTCAAGACCAACCACAGGCTGCTGATCACTGGCACCCCACTTCAAAACTCCCTCAAAGAGCTCTGGTCCCTGCTGCATTTCATCATGCCAGAGAAGTAAGTCTTCCTTTGGTCCTTCCAAAAATGCCTCTCTCTGGTCTATTAAATAGACTCAAGGGAGTTCAGAACGGCTGAAATCCCTGAATTCAGGTCAATGGACTTAGAGCAATGAAAGAGAAACAGACATTGGTGTGGAAAATCAGAGGTTAAATGACTTAACACAAGGAGTATTCCTGGCAGCAAACTGAATGGAGAAACCTAATACA